CGCCTTTGTTTTCTTTCTTTTGGAATAGATGATTGTTGTGAAAGCCTGTCTACTTTTTGACAAGGAGAATGAGATCATCAAGTTCCTCATCACTCTTGTTTGAGTTTGAGGTTTCTTCATCATTTGATGATTTTAAAGCAACTTGTCTTCTAGGAGGATCCTTCTTTTCTTCTTCTTTTGCTTTTCTAGACTTCTCCTTTATTTCGACATGATTTAGCTCATAAGTCCTCAAGGTTCCATAGAGGTCTTCCAAAGGATACGTGTTGACATCTTTGTGTTCTCTATCAACATCATAAATGAGTCTCAATCTTCCGAGAGAGACCTAAGCATTTTGCTAACAAGTTCACCATTAGTAAATTTTCGATCAAAACCTTTAAGGCCATTAACAATATTTGTGAACCGAGCAATCATGCTAGCAATGGGTTCATCTTGTTTCATAAATAAATTTTCAAAATCTTTAAACAAAAGATTTATCTTAGTTTCTTTCACTTTTTTTGTACCCATGTGTGTGATTTCTAATGCATGCCAAATATCATATGTGCTAATACGATTAAATTCATTTATATTTAAAGCACAATAAAGAAGATTTTTGGCTTTTGCATTAAAATACAATTTTCTTTTATCATCTTCATCATATTATTCCCTAGGTTTTGAAATAATTTGGTCCGATTTTCCATCAACTTTAATAACCTTAGTAAGCCTATGAGGACCAAATTCAATAACCTCCCAAACATTATAATCAATTGGTTGGATATAAATCATCATTCTAATTTTTTAATAATTATAATGTGCACCATCAAACAAAGGAGGACGATTTGTAGAATGCCCATCAATATTATGATTAGCCATAACACAAGATAGTAAAATTTTTTAAAATACGCACCTAGGCTCTAATACCAATTGATAACCCAAGAATAACTAACCAAGAGGGGGGTGAATTGGTTTTTGAAACTTTTTCAACAATTAGTCTCAAAACTATTTAATTCACAAGATATAAATGCAAAGTGTAATAAGAGAAGTAAATATGCAAATTCGATAATTTAATTCAAGTATTGTCACTTAAGTAGATATAGAACAATGTAAATAGCAATTTAAAGTAAAGTGCAATAATGTAAAAATGACAAGCGAATTTAATAGCGTTTGATACACAATGTGTTCTACGTCCCCGTTACCAAGCTCTCCGTCACGAGTAAGGCCAAATACACTATAGTGGTAACTTACAAACAAGGAGTACCAATCCTTAAGTGACTTACAATAAGGAGCACTTATCCTTAAGTGACTTACCACATTGAGCACTTATCCTTAGATGACTTACAACAAGGAGCATCTATCCTTAACAACAATCGAGTTTTCACAAGGCTCTCGAAACCACCAAAATATAAATGATAATTTTACAATTGAAAGAACTCTCTTAACAAATGATATAATCAAGTCAAGTATTTAGAGAGTTGGGATAACACTTTAATATATAGCGAATGATAAACTTCAAGTGTTTATGTTGTAAACTTTGATGAATAATGGATAATGAAATATTTTGTATCTTGTATCAAAGTTTTCAACATATGATCTCTCTTAACAAATAATACAAATTAAGTATGAAGAGAGATGTACAGTTAATATAAGTGTTAGCAAAGAAAACCTTTATCAAGAATTGAAAACAGATGAGATTGAAAAGTTTCCTTACAAAATATAATTCTTGATAAAATAGATGTAACTAGTTTGATCAATCAAGAGATTCTTTTTAATAAATGAAATAGAATATATAATCAAATAAGTTCAATGATTTTCAATAAATATACTCTCTTAATTGTTCTTGTAAGTTGTTTTATTGAATGCAAAACGGTGAGCTATTTATAGATCAAAATATTTGAAAATCGGCAACTTTTGGTTGAACATTTTGGTCAATCGAAAGATGAATATAGCCGTTGCATATTTTAAACCGTTGGAATTTCGATAGAGCATTTCTGTCATTTCGGTTGAACAGAATTTCGGTCGACCGAAGTATGAGATTTTTGGAATTTAATTTTTATATCAAAATATTCATTTTTCCGAAATCTATTTCATATTATGAATTAAAAAACATTTTTATGGAAGTAATGAATTGTGAAAATAATTTGAGCTTTATGCACTTGCTAAAGATTAAGATTGATGAGTTGATACATTTACATATAAATTGAAGTTTCAATAAAGAACTTCTAAGTTCTAATCTTCAAAGTTCTTGTTTTTTCGAGTCTCTTTTGATCGCTTGTTCTTCAATTGATGATGATTTGAGCATTTGAATGTTTAAGAAGATTTATATGTGAAAATAAAAACTCAAGAAATAAGACTTGTTAGAAACATAAGTATCTAGTTTATTATAATCAAAACAAATAGTTATATTTAATCATAGGTCAACAACTAAGTGGGTTGAAGACGAACCCCTTGTAAACATTACTAAGGCAAACACTTATACGTTCGTATGGAAAAACATCATATACCGATTCAGAGTACCCAACTCAATAATATCGAATAACGAAAAACAATTTCAAGGGAAGAAACTTAAACCAATGTGCGATGAGTTAGGCATTTGCATACATTTTTCCACTCCATATTATTCCCAAGCTAAAGGTGAAGTGAAAGTTATCAATAAACACTAATGAACATCCTAAAAAAACTTGATGTAACGAAGGGACTATAGGCGGACGAGTTGCGACAAATCTTATGGGCATACCAAACCAATTACGAAAACCACCACTCGAGAAACCATTTTTTCTCTAGCATACCAGTAGAAGTGGGTATAAGTTCGGCAAAAAGAATAGGATATGATGAAAAATCCATGAATACGATCCTAGACCTCTTAGAAGATTTATACAAAATGAAAAAAAAAATTGGCGTTCATGGTGAAATACTAACTAAATAGATCAATTGAGAGATAAAACCCGGTTGGTCAATATTTTCATGTTTATTGATGTGAGATTTATTCCTTATCATATTTCGTAAGATGAACTAAAAATCTGTGTGATCATTTGAATCTTGAATGGACTCTAATATCATATTAAGACTTGAAGTTTCATCTTAATATCACATTGTTAACAAGAGTAGTACAAATTCTGATATGTTGATAGTATTTTCACATTTATTCGATGTGGGATCTATCCTTAATATCGCACTATAATTGAATCATGCATCAATTAAGAGTAATAAATGCACTCCTTAATGGAGATTTGGAGGAGGGAATGTTCGAGGAGGTAATGTTGGGAATTTACTTAACATACACAGTGGAAAATAAATAATTTTTCAATTCCCACCATGGATCTGCTTTGTGTTTAGAAAGAAACTGTGTTTAGAATAATACATTTGATGAATTCTACAAATTCCTTTGCTGATTCTCGAACACGAACAATCACGAACTGAAAGGCTGTCCAATTGTCCAGCCTCCAATGAAAATCCACACAGAGAACAAGAACGAGAACTAGGGTTTTTTTTTCTTGTGCAAGCAAGAATAATTATTTTCTCTACGAATTTTTCCAAACCCTAGCAGCCTATTAATATGTGTCAATCTCAATTATTGATCATATATTTCATCCCGCTATTAAGTTAATATAAACCGAACTCCTTTTTGACTTATGAGTACACCTTGTCCAATGATTTCATTATCAACTTAATTGAATGAAATGTAGATCATAATCTCTTACTATCTAAAAGTGACGAATCTTCTATTGATAATTCACAACCTTCATATGATTCTTGACATACCCGAACGATGTCGTATTAGCGACAATTGACAGAGCAACCTCCAATATCACCAAAATATGACTATCCTCCTATAAAGCACTATGATGACCTCAAGTCAAAGGACCAATTCCACTACCGAACATTATAGATTAACCACTGACACTCAAACAGTTACTTACTTCACAAGTAAGAAATGTCACACGTGATGGTCTATCCGTAATAACGATATTCATATATCTCGCTATTACATACGACCACGGACGATTTCAGATTCAATCATATGTAATTTGTATCTCACAATCACAACTCCTTGTAATTAACAAATCACCAAGACTTAAATTTACGGATTCTATTATTTAATTTATTAGAATATTAATTCAATTAAATAATGGACATTGCCATAAATATGCATCGATTATATATATTAAAGTGTTTATGTCACGTGTGTTTTTGACAAGGTACGTAAAATAAATGAGTCCCTTTGCAGTCTAAAATAGCAACCACGAGTATCGTTTGATATATTCACAAGGTCTATTCATGCTATGTATAAACTCGAATAAATTAGATCACTCTATGTTGTTTAAATATAAAAGCAACAATGGTATATCAATTTCTATTGTACTACGACAATATAGCGATTAGAAATGATGTGACACGGATGAGATATTTAAAATAGATTATTTTGAGAGAATTTGAAATTAATGAATTTTGCCAATTGAGATACTTCCCTAAGATTAGGCAGTAAGATAACATAATCGCATTTTTGTTTTCGGAAAGAACCCTCACGTCCAGGGGCGGATGCAGACTTCTTAAACAGGGGGGCACAATCAAAATTTCATGGAATGAAAAGCTCAATCATTTAGCAAGATAGAGTAGTTACATAGGGGGAGATGTATAATGTATTCTATGGAATGCTATTCCAGGAAGCGATCCTGTACAAAGAACAAATATTAATTTATCAAAGAGATAGAGAGAAACATGTGGACATAAACATTATATTTTCTACCCTTGAGATACATTTCCTGCACATAAGTATCCTCTCCATCTGATAACTTAGGAGCCTTTGCAGCATCAGCATCAGAGATGGTATATACCATTTGTACAGAACCACCTCCAAGACCAACCACTCCAACGGCAGACGGATATTCTTTACCCAAATTTCCTAGTAGATAGTTGATTGTCACCTGCATAGACATGAAAAAATTCTAAATAATTCCACAACCACAACTGATAACAAGTAATAATATATCAGCATAAGAAAAAATAATAACGATCCAATCGATGTTACTTGTGAGTCATTCTACCGCAATTTCCATGTAATTTAAAGTGTACATCTCACTTCAAGTAAAGCTCATCAGCCATAGGAAAACGCTTTAGGACGTGAGTGCATCTTCATTTGAAGACTAAATGTTTGTCACCTTATATATTGTAACTCGTTAATCCTAAACTTTTAACTAGTATAAATGAAACGCAAACTGAGATATCTATATAGGCTGGAAATTAGATACTGGTAGCTCGATTTATGCAGTCAGATCTTAAACGTACAGTTCCGCTGCAGGCCAAATAAACAACTCCTAAAAAATTCAGGTAAGACCATAAACAATTTCTCTTTTTAGCATCTCTCTTTTCCTTTCGCAGGCAACATCCAATTACATTAGTTACTATTTCCATAATTCTACGATTCAACAAAACAAAAAATTTGCAGTTTTCCACAAATTTTTACTTCTTTATGACAATTGACACTTTGTTGTTCTATACAGTAAAATTAATGATCATATTGCATCTGGGATCTATTGATGAATCATATCAACTGCCTCACCAGTGATCTTCCAAGCTTCTTTCTTGTTCTCTACGAAGTGTACCAAAAGAAAAACACTAAAATCAAAATATTAGATTAACACTTAATCCCAAAATCCCTAAAAACCAAAATCCCAAAAAAAGGAAATCATGTTTAAAAAAATTTCATTCGTCTGTTTCAAGATTCTGAAAAGGAAATTCATTGGAAAACTACTTTTCTCAAAGATTGGATAGAGAACAGTGTTGGGATTGTGAACATAATTAAGTTCCGTATATGAATTATGATCAGACAACCCAGAAAGCAACTTAACATGCAATGATGTAATAATTTTTACAATATCAGCACATTTAACATTAATTCTTACTAAAACTTGTCTAAAAATTGATTAATCTTCAATTTTGTACCTTGGAATTTCTAGACAAGTAGTGATATACTAATTTGCCTTCAAGACGGTACTCATGCATAACCCAGTTGCTCTTTTCACCCTTTGGAGCCCTTCCACGATAGAAAACTAGGGTTTTCTTCATACCCACTAGTGAACAAGTCTTTAAGCTGTAAATTTCCCTGTCTTTTCGAGTAGCCTTCCAGTATCCAGCTTCTGTTGGGCGATTAGTCCTTAACCCAGTTGGGTATTTCGGAAATGGGCGGACCTGGGGATTAGGGATTTGAGGTTTGGATACAATTTTTTTTCCTTTATATATTATTAAAAAAAATCTTCAAAATCTGGGGGGCACTTGCCCACCCAGGCCACCCCCAGGTCCGCCCCTGCTCACGTCTTCCTAAGGAAACGTGTATACTTGGGTGCAAACTGGTGGACACTCCAATCAAATCAAACCAAATATAAAACAATGTACCATAGAGGATCGCATTAAATGTTGGGAAATATGGGAGATTAGTGATAGAACTTATTTATTTATTCCACACGAATAAATATGGTATTTACAACTAGTGTAGTAAGTTGATACATGCATTCTTAGAATGAATATCTAGAAGCTATATAGTAAAGGAATGACTGGAAAGTAAGTTGATAAACTTATTTATTTATTCCACACAAACAATACAATAAAGGGATGACTATTCAAAAGAAAAAGTTATATGAAGGTTGAGGTGAGGTATATACCAATGCTAATTGGGCACGACAGAAAGTGACAGTAGATCAACCTACATATATTAATGTACATTTAGAGGAAACCTGATAACTTAGAGAAGTAAGAAATACTTGGTAGATTTAGGCCTTGAGCACAAGGCATTTGTGAACTTCCACATTTACAAATATTACTAAGCGAATTAAGGCTCTGATTGGTCTGGCTAAAAATTATGTTTTTAATAAATTTTGGTAAAAGTTAGTAAAATTCGTGGTTGAAAATTTGGTAAAAGTTGTGAGACCAATGAAATGTGCAGTTAAAAAAAAGTTTGAAAAAAATGAATTTTAAAAAATGGGAACAAATAAGGGGGCTAAGAGTTGAGTTTGAGATCCCTATGAAACTATATTGTGATAACAAGGTAGTTATAAACAAAGCAAGTAATCCATTACAATATAACATGACAAAACTTATTAAGATCGACACAAACATTATTAAAGAAAAGTTGGGGTCGTGTGATTTGTATGTTCTATGTACTTACGAAGAAGCAATTAGCAAACATTCTTACCGGAAGTTTTATAAAGATGTTCAGGAATGTTTCTGAGAAGTGTATAGTATATTTGAACCAACTTAAAGAGAGATTCCCTTTATATGCATTCCCTAAGTTCTATTAAAGTATACAAAAACGCCAATTACAGCCAAAGCATGATTCAATAAATATTCTACTTCATAAATAAAGTGTTGGATTGGGATATTTAATCATTACAAAAGGACATTAATTTTCCTTTGACGATTCAACCCAAAAGCATGGTGGATCTCAGATCACCTTAAGATCATATGATGTTTTAGTTTAAATCCTCACATATAAATGATGAGATGATAACCTTGAAGGAGCTTTTAATGGCCTAGTCAAATGCTTCCTCCCTTAGATCTTCTCCCATATGCTCCTTAGGTGCCTCTCCTTTCTTTGAGAAAATGGAAAATGGTTAAAACCCTAACGTTGGTAAATGTGCCCTTAAATGACATATTTATAACACACAATTAAGGTTTCATATTTGCACAAATTTCTTTGAACTTTATTGTAGTATACCAATTAAGTCATACACCTTTATTGGAGCCAAAAGAGGGACCTAACCGGACTTACAAGACTCAAACTCCAATAAATATTTCTAATTGGGTCAACTCTTAAACAATTGAGATATATCTATTAATCCCGGCTTACTCTACCAAAAAAGGGGGATTGCACTCTTGAGTCGAATGAAAGTTATGAAAGCCAATTATGATTTGATAACAATATCCTCCGACCACCATTTCACAAGTCAACCTTCATTTGACCATCAATATGTTGAAGTCGACAAAATGACCATTTTGCCCTTCAACATGTATTTCCCTCTAAGTCCCATTTCATAAGGCAAATTCGTTGTGATCACATCACAACACCAAGTCCAGCGATCTCATCATCGGACTACTGAGCTCAGATTCAATTCCCTTTAGAAAATATCTTAGAGTAACGATCGTATCATCATGATGATTAACGGATTCCACTATTGCATGTATATGATCTCTAATTGCTTCGCCCAGATTCCCAAGGCACCGAGATTGATCTTCTAATTAAGACTTTACTCATTGGCACCTCAAAGAATCTGAACTAGCAATTAAAGGTACATTACTTGCTCAGGATTTAGGTGACTTATTCGATAATCGGGTGGTGTCTCATTTTGAGCGATTAAAAATGAGTCATCCACGCGGTCCTATTCAACGTGCTTTAAAACACGTTGTTGTTCTTATTCCTAGATCTAGGCAAATCTTAATAAGAACAATACAATCTTATCAACATAAAGCGTCCAACTTCATGTACCGATTGCGAACGACATATTTTGATCATATAACGAATTGTGTCTCACTATATCCAAACCGTCGAGTGTACAATTTGTTATTTCATATGATCATGGAACCTTAGATTATTGTCGCAAATTCTAACACGTGAATAATAGAATGTTAATTCATAATGTCGTCACAATATACTTACTACAAAAAAAGGCATCAAACTAACAATCTCCCACTTGCCCTTTTAAAGTATATGTGACATATCAATAATACTCATCTTCTCAAGGTACTCATCAAAAACCTTAGCTGGTAAGCTCTTTGTGAACGGATCCGCAAGATTATCTGCTGATGTAATCTTGCTAACCGTTACGCCTCTTCGATGAACAATTTCTCTAACAAAGTGGTATTTCCTCTCAATGTGCTTGCTATGCTGATGACTCGTTGGTTCTTTAGCATTGGCAACCGCTTCACTATTATCACAATAAAGTGTTATGGGTTTCATTGCCAAAGATACCACATCAAAGTCCAAGAGAAACTTTTTGAACCATACAGCCTCTTTAGCAGCTTCACAAGGGGCTACATACTCTGCCTCCATGGTGGAATCGGTAATACAAGATTACTTAATACTCATCCATACCATGACTCCACCTCCTAGCATAAATACTGAACTCGATGTGGACTTTCTAGAGTCACGATCAGATTGAAAATCGAAATCAATGTACCCAATAGGATTCAGATCATGTCCTGAATAGACGAGAATATAGTCTCTCATTCTCCGAAGATACTTGAGTATATGTTTCACTGCCATCCAATGTTCCGGTCCTGGATTAGACTGATAACAACTAACAATACCCACAGCAAAACAAATGTCCGGTCTAGTGCAAAGCATGGCATACATGAGGCTTCCCACAGCTGAGGCATAAGGAACCTTCTTCATGTAATCTATCTCTGTCGGAGTTTTGAGAGAATGCTCCTTAGATAGATGAATTCTATGTCTAAAAGGGAGTTGTCCCTTTTTGGAATTCTGCATTGCGAATTTAGACAATATTTTGTCAATGTATGAAGCTTGGGATAATGATATCCTTTTGTTTTTCCTACCTCGCAAGATACGAATTCCCAAAACATAACTAGCCATTCCCAAGTCCTTCATATCAAACTACTATGATAATCATTTCTTTACGAATGACAATGTCTTTACATCATTTTCGATGAGTAGAATGTCATCCACATAAAGAATAAAAAAGAATAATTTCTTTCCTTGCACACATTTGTATACACAGGGTTCATCCAAATTTTGGTCAAAACCATAGGTCTTAATAGTTTGATCAAATCGGACATTCCAGGATCTGGACGCTTGCTTAAGTCCATAAATGGACCTCTACAACTGGTAAACTTTCCTTTCATGGCCTTCTCTTACTAACCCTTCAGGTTGCATCATGTAGATGGTCTCATCAAGATACTCATTCAAAAAGGTTGTCTTAACATCCATTTGTCAAACCTCATAATCATAATGAGCGGCAATGGATAAAAGGATTCGAATAGATTTAAGCATGGCAACCGGTGAGAAGGTTTCTTCATAGTCGATACCTTCTCTTTGGGTAAAACACTTGACCACTAGCCTTGCTTTGAAGGTTTCAACCTTCCCATCTATACCCCTTTTCCTGTTAGACCCATTTGCACCATATAGGTTTGACCTGTGCAACCTTCCCATCTATACCCCTTTTCCTTTAATAGACCTATTTGCATCCTATAGGTTTGACCCCATTAGGTACATCCACAAGATCCCTAACCTTGTTAGAATACATAGATTCCATTTCTGAGTTCATGGCAAATTTCCATGATTCAAAGTCTACATCCTTAATTGATTCCTTAAACGAAGTGGTATTTTCTTCTTGTTCAGTAGAGATCGCCTGATATGACTATCCATAAAGCAAGTATCTAGAAGGTGGTCTAACAATCCTCCCACTATGAGTAACGGTTGAAGGTGCCTGATTGTCCAGTCTGACTGTAGATCCTTCCTCTTCTCCAACTGCTTGGTCATGTCCTTGGTCAGGACCAACTTCCTTATAATCCCCATTGGGATGGGTGTGTAGAGGTGCATCAATGGGCACCTCGTTCCCTACTATCTCTGGTTCTATTTCATGAAGTACTGTGGGCATCACATGCTCACTTACCTCATCCGTGACCATTGGTTCTGTAGGAGGTTCCAAGTCATAACTATTTGATTCTATGCGAAAATTTGGAGCCGAGTTGTTTGAACCATGTTCTAACTCCTCCAATAGAATCTTACTAGTAGACTTGTGTTCTTCTATGTACTTGTCTTCTAAGCAGGTTACATTTGTACCAACAAATACCTTCTTATCTAGAGGACTACAGAAGCAGTAACCTCTTATTCCTTTTGGATATTCTACAAAGAGACAAACTTCCGATCTTGATCTTATCTTATCCGTCTTTCCTTTTAGCACATGTACCGGACACCCCATATCTGAATATGATGCAAATTAGGTTTGCGCCCATTCCATAATTCAATGGGCGTCTTGGGAACCGACTTAGACGGTACTAAATTCAAGATATAAATGGCTGTTTGTAGTGTATATCCCCAAAAAGAAATAGGCAAT